GGTTTTTTTTTTCCCCCCCTCCCCTTCCCCCCGGGAAAAAATTGGGGGGGGGGGGTTTTTTTTGCCCGTTTTCCCACCGGGGGGCCCCCCCCCCCCCCCCCCCCCCCCCCTGCGCGCGCGAGTCATTCTCTGATCGCAGGACATGCTCTTCCCGACTGCTGTTGTGTAGAAACCGAAAGGTTCTCATGTTAATCATGTTAAGGAGGGCGCGGCACTTCGTATGACGAATCCTCGCGCCGCTCGCCTCACACGCCAGATGTCATCGGTGGCGTGAATATACCGAAAAGTGATCGTTAACGTTAACAAGCCTATTGCCATGGATATAACGAAACACACACCCTCGCGCCACTCCCCTCTCACGCCAGATATCAGCGGTGGCGTTCGCGGCGTACGTCCACCTCAAGCTCCCGAGGGTACCGCAGGGCGCCTTCAAGGTCCCGATTCTGCCGGGGTACCGCCGAGGGACAAAGATTACGTTTAGCACGCCGGAGGGGGTGGACGTGACCTTCGAACTGGTCGAGAAGCAAAGCCAGTTTCGTCGCTCAGGTACTGCTGCGCAACGGCAACAACAAACGCTTGTGGAGGGGGCACTGTACTATGCACGATTTCGTGGTATCCCGCTACAATAATAGTAACGGAATACCGTACGTTGGATACGTAAGATACCACACACCATGGGCCGCCCGCCTCCTTCCCCTTTGTTGATGAATTCATGTAGCCAGTTGTGCGGCAAGCCTGCGGCAGGAGTGCGCTTCGTGGAGATGCGGTCTTGCGTGTCACGGACTCTTCCACACGTGGAGCACGTAGCCTTTGGGTTCGTCGACGAGGCTTTCGACGTTCAAGCACGATTCCGCAAAAAAAAAAATCCTCTGGAAGAAACGTGTGCTACAGTATGGAACCTCAGTGCAAGCCTCCCGCCGCTATTTCTTGTCCGTCTTGTTTAGATTTTTTTTTTGCTTGGCCACCTTTCTCGTTCGCATCGTACACGCGGTAGTGGTGACGCCGGGGTTCAGTGCTTGTTGTGTTAGGGGTGAACGCCTGTGATTTTTCGTTGGAAGCGCTGCTGCTGTGTTGAGGCCCAATGGCTTTGTTTTTTTGTATTGTTGACGCCGCCGATGACAAGATAGTCGACGACAAGTAATCATTGCCTCTCTCGTTCACCGGGAGCACCCTTAACAAGTCGAGCTCGATTGGCGCACAGGAGATACGCGTGCAGGTGTTGCAACTCAGCAACGGTCGGTACCCCCAGAAACGGAGAGATATGGATCCTTTCCTCATGACCTGGATTTCTTTCTGCTTTGCCCAACCACCGTTATTTGCCACGCTCTTCGTCGGCTATGGCAGGTGACGACCTTTTCGTGATGCTGCGGCTTTCTCCGAAGATGGTGAAGCGAGGTTGCGTCGTCAAGGTCCCTACTCTCGACAAGGGAACGGCAAGTCATTTCTTGCTGCCGTTGTTGGTGTTGTTGTGGTTGTTGCTGCGGTTGTCGTCGTTGGCTATTGAACGTCAGCTGCGGAAGACACAGAGAGTCAGTATTGATTTGTAGGGCAAAGACACAATCTCCGACAAATATTCCAATCATCACGTTCGAACATGAGGCGTTCTCCACACAAAACAAAACCTGATTCATCAAGTCTTCTCCCATTTTTGCTTCTTTTTTTTTTTTCCCGCGCGAGAGCAGATTTCGATGCGGCTGAAACGGAGGGAGGCCAGGGACGGCTACGAGCGTCGCTTGCCAGGGCTGGGCATGCCTCGTCGCAAGGACGGCGGGGAGGACGGCAGCAGTAACCGCGGAGACCTGATCGTGCACTTTATGGTGCCACCGGAGGGAGATGAATAGTCAGCAGTTGTACATACAGCCTGCCTTTCTTCCTAACCCACCCCATTCCTACAGGGAACTGCTGGTTTGGAGGCGGCGTGGCGTTTCTGCTAGATGTCGCGCCGTGCACTCGTGCGTGTATGAAGCCCTCGGGTTTTTTTTTGGGTGGAGCCTCCGAAGACCATGCCATGCGTACCTGGCACCACCACGCAACCCTTCCGGTCACAGCTATTCTTTGTGGAGGGGGGGCATCGAAACATCGTTGAGAGTGATAGGGAGGGGTAGGGGTAGGAGCTCTTGTATCTCAGCGAAGAAAGCTGAAACGATACATACACTCCCGAAGAACACAGTGCTGTGTGCAGATCACCTATACGACCCACGCATATTTTGTGAAAAAGCGCCACCCTCGCTGCTATTTAGTGTACATTTGGTTCATGGGCTGGTGGTGCGGCTACCAGCACACAACCCTTGTTGACCTGATTGTTTCGGTTCGTCATCGCATTCATCTCTGTAACTGTCACCGCCATTCACGAACCATCTACCCTTCGGTCCCACCCTGGGTCACACAGAAGATCCGGGGTCAAAGAGAAGGATTTCTCCTGCGGCCCGCCTCTATCGAATAAATATATGCAGAGACACACACACCGAAAAACACTCGGAAATTCAAACAGATGAGCTATACCGTACCGAAGCGGCCGAGGCCCACAGGAACAGGGCGGTACAGAAGCACACAAGACAGGCACACGTCGCAAGTAAACCTCCCTCCCCCCGTCATGTAGATTGGAAAATACGGCGGTGCCCCCCAGGGGCGACGCCAGAACTCAAGCGGTGATTCTGGAGATGTGCGTCCTCGCTTGTTCTACTGTAGTTCCCATACGTTCCTCTCATTACATCACAAATTACAGCACACAAACAACCATCGCATGATTCCGACACACATCCCGCAATTTCCATCTCTTTGCGAAGAGTACACGGCAGTTCTCTTTCTCCGTTCTGCTCCCCGTCTATCCTCCCCCTTTCTCCAACACGACAAAATCACGACATACATACACGCTCTTCAATATCAGCACCATCCTCCCCGTGCGCCCTTCCTTTCGTTTTGTCTCCCTCATGACGCTAGAACCTGCAAACGCACTGGTCCCTCCGACTGAAAATTCAACCCCAAACCAATAAATAGCCAGCCTCAGGAGAAGAACCTGTATAGGGAAGCGCAAACTTCGACTGGAAGTTGTAGCAAAAGCAGCTACTCTCACGAATCCCCCCCCAAACAAGGACAAGCGGCCAGTTCTACACGAACAAACACAACACGATGGGCACGTTGGGCACTGCCAGAGTTCTGGAGGTGGGGCGGGGGCCAACACAAGCCTAACCTACTCAAAGGAAGCACGCAGCCAAAATGCAAACAACACACCGGTGCAATTGTTAATGCAGTACAATAGTCTAGGCGTGACGACTCGCCCAACAACAAAGAACTCGAAAAAGCATCGACCGGAGAACAAAAGAGTCAATCAAGCTGCATGTTGTTCCGCCGTCCGTTCAACCTATCGCGGCCAGTTTCTTCGTCTCTTGCACATTCCCGCAATCTCGATGTTCCGTAAAAATAACAGCAAATAACTCCCCACAGGCGGGCGTTGACTGGACACGACTTCACTGTTTGGTCGACCAAAATGACATCAGTGTAAAACTAGAGCGACAAGGCCCGGTAAACAAAGCCAACAACGGACCTAAACGCGAGCCTATCAATGCATTCGAACCAACAAAAGTGTTGACGAAGAAGAGGCTTGGCAATTTGACACTCACCTCTCTATAAAAAAAGACCAGAAAAACAACCGAACCGGCCCATGGCACGACGAAAAAATAACCTTTCCCTCAACCGAGTCTAAGAGGGTACCAAACATCCAACGCCTTCGGTAAATCAGCAGCAGCGTTGACAGGACAAGGGAAATCAGCACAACTGGAGGAGCCACAACACCTTCTTGGTCACTCTAGGGTAGCACCCCTTCCCCCCACGGAAAATGTGTTGCGTGCATGTCAGGTAAATACGATGACGAGTGCGCCAAGGGGAGCGGAGTCCACACCGAACTTCGGGGGTCTGCTCTCAATTTTCGGAGCTCTCAACACGTCGATGGCAAAACTGAGTCAACAGCGAGCCGTTTTCACAGCACCAGTGGTTCAAAACCCCGTACACGCTATCCTTGACCCCCACCCCGAGTGTTCACGTCCGCGTCACCCCGGTCTAGACATGTCTGGACTGCTCGAGCGCAGCTGATCTCACTAAACATAAATCGAAATCCGGTTTTCCTTGCCCTTGAGCGAGGCTTTTGACTAAACGAGGTTCCCCCAAGAACAACTCCCCTATCCCGGGACACTTCTGCAAAACGTGTGTGTCTGCGTTGTCCGGGGTGCGTGTCTGGGAGATCTCCCCGCCCACGAAGGCATGCGGTGGGACTCCAAACGCCAAAAAAAAAAACAGCCTTGCATCCGCAACAGGAGGTCCGAGCACGCATCATTCGGGGGGAGTTCCAAATCGCCGAGGCATCCGCACACCTGGCACGATGATACTCTCGAATCATTTCCATCGAATCCTTGGGTGTGTGTTCCGATCGTTCCACACACACCCCGTGTGCGGTGGGAGCGTCCAGCTTTTGGCCCTCACAGCGCCGCGACGCTCGGCGGCTCGGCAGCAGCAACAGCATCAGCATCAGCATCAGCATCAGCGGGAGAAACGACCCCGCCGTTCGCTCCGCGGTCGCCCTTAGGTTCTTTCGCGCCGCTGCCCCGGTCGTCGGCTGCAGGGACGGCCGCCAAAGCGGGGTCCTCCTCCTCCTCCTCCGGGTCGGTGTCGTTCGGAACCACAACGCCTCCGCCGTCGGCATCTCCGCTAGCCTCGGCGGGGCCATCCCCCAGATCCGACTCCGGCGGCGGCGACGGCGGTGGTTCGTCTCCGTCTTCGACCATGGCCGTCGGAACCGCCACGTCCCCCTGCGCCTCGGCACCCTTGGACACCCCCGAGACCTTCTCCGACGTTGGCGACGCCTCTGCGTTCGCAGGCCCTGTCCCCTCCTCCTTGTCCAACGGTTCGCCGCCACCGGAGGCGCCGCTCGCGTCTGCCACGCCGCCCGCCAGAAGCCTGGCAACCGCCGCCGCCTTCGCGCTGGCCTTCTCGTCCCTCACGTAGACCGGCGGTCTCTCCGCGACGGGAAGCTTGTCACCGCCGCCGCCGCCGCCGCTGTTCATCCCGGCAAGGATCCACTTGTCCGACGCCCACTCCGGACCGTCACCGGCTCCGGTGCCGTCGATGCCGGGCGTGTCGCCGCCGCCGGCGGCGACCGCGGCGTCTGCCACGGAGGAGTCCTTCGCGAGCTTCTCCTTCTCGGCCTCCAGGCGGGCGTCTCTCTCCCTCGCCTCGATCCGGAACTCGGCCTCCTCGGCCTCAAACTCCTGCCGAAAACAAACGTTTCGTTCGCGTGCATGCAAAAAGAAAAAAAAATGTCGATTCTCTGAAGGCAAGACTTGATCTACTATCTTCAGAAAAACACAACGAATCCAGCTCTTCCGCAGATAACAGTCCGGGATAGATTAGCAATGATAAGTACATGATAGTGTTGTATGATGACCAAACTGTTCTTTTGTTTCCGTGAGTGTACCATAGGGGTTGACATGTTGCATGTACCCCAGGCAAAAACGTAGTTGAATGCGTGTACGAACACACACCGGCCTCGAACTCCTGCCGAACACGACTTACGCGAAAAATCTACTCTTCGTGGTGTAACCTATTGTGTCCGTGAGCACACCAAGGGGTTTGAGTACCCCGGGAAAAGAATGCCGCTGTTCGTGCGCACGAATGCATTAGAAACTTGTGGTAGCATTGGTGTTCTCTATTGACATTTCGGAAATAAGGGTCCGAAACCCGAAGGGATCATGAGGAGGTACTTGCGGTAGAGATCAGGACGGTTCTAAAACGTAGAGCGAAAGAGAGGGAGAGAGGAACTAGGGCGAGGCAAAGAAATGAGCAATACCGGCTACCTTCAAGCGCTTGTGCAACAGCTCTTGACGCTCCGCCGCCTTGCACTTGCGCTCCGCCGAAATGCGCTGTAAAGCTTCCTGCAGCGCGAATGAACAGGGCATATGGCGAATCGAGGTGTTGTTTTACGGTTACACTTGTCTTGGTAGAGAACAACACGAACAGACACAACGATATGCGGCATCTGATTCTTTGACAGGGTTGGCAGAAAGTATGAGCAAGCGTCAAATGCCAGCAGGCTACGAACACCCCCCCCGCGCCCCAACAAGGTCAGCCCCGTTGGCGCATCTGCTGCTGCCGCTGCTGCTGCTGCTGCTGCTGTTTGTCGCAGAATTAACCACAGAGCAAAAACACAAGCCTGTCGCCAAAAACCATGCACCATGAGACGCGTCGTACATACAGGCAACGGCCGCTAGTGCCTCCCTCGAAGTGTTTCAAAAAACGCGGTTTACACATGAGAGCGCTGATTCGGAGAAAGAAAGAAGGACCAAAAGGCGGGGGGGGGCACCGCGGATTGCTTGTGGGACTTACCTCCTTCTCCTTCTGCATCGCGCGCAGGGCGGCCTCACCGGCTCGCTGGAACTCCGCCATCTCCTCACGCTTCGCCTCCTCCTCCTGGAACAAACGAAAAACACAACCGCAAAAGCGGCGAAACTGAGTTCCGGTATTGATGCGCTTCTGCCCAAAACCGTGGAAACGAGCTCCGGTATTGATGGGCTTCTGTCAAAACCTTGGAAAGTGAGCTCCGGTATTGATGCGCTTCTGTCAAAAACGGTAGAAACAAGCTCCGGTATTGATGCGCTTCTTTCTGCCACACGTCCTGCTTTGGGGGACGGTGGCATCGAAAACGAGGAAAGCAGCGTGCAACTTGTGGCCGCAGGCGTCAGGGTCATGACGGGAAAGCCTACATCCACCGTCAGAGTTACTGGGCAACATACGGGCGACACGACAGGCAGTTTCGTCATCGTGCCGATGATACCGCCTCGCGCTTGTAGCA